TGTTGCGATTTTAAGTTTAGAAACTATTCTTCTTCTGCATTACTTCAACCAAAAGACAAAACAAAGACAAATACTAAAATTCACAGGGTTAAAGACTAAACAATTTAGCAGTATTGGCAGCAATCAAATGAATTTAATAAGAAATCTAAGTGAAATGGTTAATCTATTATTGAAATTACCAGTAAACTTATCATCAATTTCAATATAAAAAACCTAAAATAATGCAAAATTTTCAAAATAAAAAATAATTAAAAAAACTAACCCTCGGAGGTTTATTTTCCATTTCTGAATGATTGTGAGGGATTTCTGACCGTGAATGGTTGTGAGGGATTTCGCCGGCGATGGGGACGGAAATCTTCGGAGATGGGGACGGATTTCGCCGTAGAGAGTGAGAGATGGAGATGGGACTGAGTTGTGATTTTAGGTTTTAGGTTATGAGTTGCGATTACGGGATATACTGTGGACGGTTCAGTTTCCGATATATTAAGAAATTCGTGTTTGGAATTTGAAAAAAAAAAAATACGCGTTAATACGAATGGCGCTATGTAAATCGCATTGATATTTTACTAATTTGCATTGCGATTTACGTATTCGCATTGCGATTTTCCTAATTCGCATTGCGATTTACGTAATCGCGTTGCGATTTACGTATTCGCATTGCGAATTAGGAAAATCGCAATGCGAATTTGGGAAATCGCAATGCGATAGTCAGAATCGCGTTGCGAATCTGGAAACTGATTTATGATACCAGAGATCGCGTTGCGAATTATCGATCGCATTGCGATTTAGTTGGTCATTTTGGCGAATCCAAAAAAAGTTGGTTAAAATCGTATATTATAAGGCATTTTTGGTCACTGAGGTTATTTTCTCTTTTCTTATAGCTGATTATCCTTAGACGGACTCCATGAATCCCCCAGAGAATCCTTGAGCAGTTATTATAGAGAATCAAACCGAGTTCTCATAGACCACAGTGTTGTTGCTCAAACTCCTGGAACTGTTGTTCATGCCGATGAGCTTTTTACCGATGGATTCATTAGACCCGTTTATATTGTGTCGCCGTCATCTTTCAGGTGGGTCTAAAATTAGGCTTCGACTTGAATAAAATGTTAGAGTCGTCACCGGTCATTTTAAAAACAATATTTAGGTTGATTGGACACCATCTTACCTGATCTGCGTTTTACCATAAATATATCGGATTCGGGAGTCGGTTACAGTCAAGGAAGGATTAGCACCCTTGAACTGCCCTTTCGGTACTATTTTATTTGTCGGTTGTCGTAATTGCAAAAATTAAAATTTAATTTAAAATTTAAAAATTCAATTCGAATTGCTTACCTTTGATCGATTGAAATTACTACTGAAAAAGTAAAAAAAAAAAAGAATGTTAAATTAATAAATAAAAATACAAAAATAAATATTAAATAAAAAGAGGAAAAGGGTTAAAAATAAATAAACAAATAAATAAAATCATATTAATATAAAGAATAATTTTTAAAAAAATAAATAATAAAAAAAATTAAAATTTAAAGTAAATAAATAAACAAATAAATAAATAAATAATAAAAAGAGTGAAAAAATGTTAATTTTTAAAATGAAGAAAAAAAGAAATGTTAAATTAAATAACAAAAAGAAAGTAGAAAAAGAATGAAATAAAAACTTAAAGGACTAAATTCGAATAAATTGAAATTCATGGATAAAATTGATGCTAAAAATGAGCTGCAAGAGAAAAATGAAAAGTTAGAGGGCCAATTTTCAAAATATAAGAAATGTAAACATAGATTAAATTGAATAAATTAAAAATTCAGAGACAAAATTGCAACAGGTGACCAAAATGAAATACACATCAAACTTACAGGGACTGCAAAAATAATTTAAAAATTTAATATTTGCACAGAGGTCTCTCGGCTATAAATAGTCAAAAAAACCAAAAAAAAATCATTTACAACCTAAACTAAAAAAACCTTCATCCTCCCAAAAACTCTCTCACCCAAGCCCCCATCCGACCAAGTGGCCAGCCACCGTCTGATGGCCACCCTCCTTCCGATCCGCCGCTTCGACCGCCGCTCCCAAACTTTCCTAAAATACTCATCCCAACCTCCTAAACACCATCTCGTAGCCCGGTTATTCAATAAAACACCAAATCGTCGTAGATCTACAAAGAAACGTTCAATGTTTTTACCTTTCCTCTTTTCTTTTCCGACGATCTTGGCTTTTCCCACCGTGGTTCCTTCCGTTCGATTCCGACGCTGAAATACTTTCGAATGTTTTATTTTGCTTGCCTTGTTTTCTTTGTTGGCTTGTTGTTGTTGCTTGTTATACGCTTCATTTTTTCGTTGTTTCTGTTGTGCTTGGTTCCTCTCTGATTCCGTTGGTGGTTTTTGTTATTTCCCTGTTGTGTCCTGTTTGGTGGCTTGGTGGGGGTATTTATACCCCCTCCACCGGTGGTCGTTTCTGATGATCTCGGGATTGTTTTCAATTATTTCGGGATCGTTCCCGATCATGCTTTTGTGAGTTGACTGAAAACCCCGAGATGTGCAGTCCCGTGTTCTTCGGTCGGACGTTTTGGTCGATTTCCGTTGTGGCCGGCAATACTGCTTGTTGTCACATTGCTTCAGGGTTCACAAAATCCTAATCCTAGTTGGACTGGTTCATGCCCATTTTCCTTCGAACCGGGCTTCATTGGACTCATATTGGATCTAAACGAAAAAAATAAATAATAATAAAAGAATAAATAAAAATAAATAATATTAATCACTACAAGAAAATTATTCTACAGCGGCGTTTTTAGCGGCGTTTTGGAAGTAAATGCCACTAATTTTAAACATATTGTGGCGTTTACATAGCAAACGCCACAAAATTGTAACTTTAGCGGCGTTTCTATACAAATGCCGCAATAGGTTCATCAATAGTGGCATTTTTTCAATAAACGCCGTAACAGAGTAGTACTTTAGTGGCGTTTCTAGACAAACGTCGCTATAGACTTGTACTTTAGTGGCATTTTTATACAAACACCCTATACAATTGTACTTTAGTGGCGTTTTTGTTTATAAACGCCGTAAAAGACTTGTACTTTAGTGGCGTTTTTATACAAACACCGCTATACACTTGTACTTTAGTGGCGTTTTTATACAAACGCTGCTATACACTAGTACTTTAGTGGCGTTTGTATTTATAGACGCCGTAAATTTATAAGTCCTGCACCTTTAACCCTTTTTTCATTTTTCCCCGTTCACCCAATTTTCAATCCCGCCTTTTACCCAAACCCATCTGCTTCATTGCCATTTTTACTCTATCTCTGATTTTGATTCCCTTATCCACATTTCCCCCAACTTTCAAATCCTCGTTTTTCATTCTGCGAAATTTATCGTTAACACCGTCATCAGTCGTTGTTGTTCTTTTTATTTTGATTTCGCCCTTTGCTTTGCTACTTATTTCTCACTACTATAAATAACTACTCTATTTGTTCATTTGTTTTTCCATTCCATTTAGTTTCAACGAAGGCAGAATCAGGAGAGAAAAATAAAGTACGTGCTTGTTCACCCCCACCGAGTCGGTTATGAGCGCAACTTCTACAATGAGTTCTGCTTAAGCGCTCTCGTGTCGACAGGGTCGAGCATGGTTTCGTTTCCTGCACTTTTAAAGTCCCTCCTTGCCTCATCGTAAGCTGTCCCCAATAAAACCCTATCTCAAATTCCCTAGAATTAGAATTCTATCAGATCTGGCTTCATTTCTTTTTGTTAAATAAATTAACTTTGGTAGGATAAAAATGGGAATTTAGCAGCGGGGGCCATTTCGTTTCTGGGAACTACTAAGTTCAATAATGAATTTCTAGCTCCTTTGCTGTAGTGGGTTGCTTTTAATTTAGTACTGATCATGTCTTAAGATGCATCGAGTGTTTTCAGAAAGTCATTCACATCTGTTAATTATTTCTTGATTTTGGGCGTATTTTATGCTGCTTGAATCGGTTAGCCGATTTGATCATGAATTAAAGTAGCCTGAGTTTTTCACCATCTAAATTTGGACCAATAGAAAGATATGCTAGTTGAAAATTGTAACAAAGGACGTGCGATCGGGTAATGTGTTTACCAGTTAGGTTTTTCAATTTGATTCATCCTGGGTTTGAAATCTTCTTTGGATTTGAGTTAAGGGGCTTTAGATTGTTGATTTATATGATCAAATCGAGTTGAGTTTCATAGTTTTTTTTGTTTCGAGTCAGAATTTGCAGGTCTAAACTTATATCATGCCTCTTGTTTTGAAGCTGAAGGAAGAATTGAAAGAATATCTTTCTATAATCCTACTGGCTTTTCTGTAGTTGGTTCCCTTCAGTCGTGTATTATGATCCATTGCAGATTATAATCCCACTGGTCTTTCTTCTTTCACATTAGTTAATCTGTTTCTAAGAGAGTTTGGTTATACTGCTTTTAATACGATCTGAGGCCATTTGTAGGATGAGTTAGAGATTACCTCAAATGTTTTAGGACAAAGAGAAGGTTATGATGGAACAATTGTTCTTGTTAGAAACAAAGCAACAGGGGAGTTAATTGCTGAAGGTCGGCATTTGTTGCTATTATTACCTATTTACCTTGATCAACTAACTTAATATTTGATGGGACATATCTGCAATCTGGTTATACAAATATTCCCTTAAATTCAATTATATTTTTTTATCACTGCAGAATGTTGATGGTGGTTTTGCTACATTTGAGCTGAGAAGATCCTATTAGTGGTTGGAGGTAACTGCTTGACACGTATATGGCCTTATAATTTATTTGAACTAGGGGAAATGAAAGTAGAGGAAAACTCTGCTTCTTGAGATGAAATCATTGTTTAGGAATGATGGAGTTAACATATGTGCGATATACTGTTTGTTTATGGTTTAGCGCTTACGTTACTATTATTAATTATTCTTAGAACAATTTAACCTTTATAATTGTCAATTTTTTTTTTTGCATTTTGTAATGTGGCCTATATAATTGCACTGTTTCATGTTTCTCCCATTTTAAGTTGATCAACCCTGCTGAAACTTTTGGCAACATAGTTATCGATTACCTGTAAGTTTCTAGCTTACATTTTCTGTATAAGTCATTTTTTTATAATTGATTACATTCTGATTTGATGTTTATGGAGTGGCAACATAGATATGTTGAATGCACCTCAGCAGCAATTCAGGCACTAGCCTCATTCAGGAAATTATATCCTGAACATAGAACAGAAGAAATTCAAAATTGTATTGGTAGAGCTGTTGGGTTTATCGAAAAGATGCAGGCAGAAGATGGCTCCTGGTTCGTTTAGAACTATTCCATAATATATATCTTTTACGTGTTTACTTTGTAATTATTTGTCTTTACAGATTCTGCTACTTCGAGCAATTCTTCAACATGGCAAACTCAGTATCCATTGCTGAAGAACTTGCTTTTTGCTGTCATTTTTTGCTAGGTATGGATCCTGGGGCATCTGCTTCAGTTATGCAGGATTCATTTACTTATAAAAAGGAGATGCAAAGCAAGAAGTTTGATACTTGATTTTAGGAATTTACTAATTTAAATATTGATTCTTTATTCTTATGAATTTATATTAGAATATTTATTTTTCTTAATTTTTTTATTTCCTTATTCAATAATCTTATTTTATGGTCACAAAGATTATAAATCCAATAAATATGTAATGTCGTATGGTTATTTTTTCTCAGGCGATAAAGTATAACAAAAGGCCTTTTGGTAACGGTTTGAAGTATCATCCTATAAATATGAGAATTGTCTGAGGTTTTCAATAAGAATTTACTTAGAGCATTAACAAAAGCTCAAGTACGGACTCATCGCGGCTATTACAGGAACTGCTGGCTATGTTGGTTATCTCTCTTACAGTAAGTCTTTTTTCTTTTGATTAAGATTGGGTCATTTGTGATTTAATTTTTATTACAATTTAAATGTGGGTTTTTAATATGATTAAAAATGTATATGTTTTTTAAAAAATTTAATTCGTTTTACAGAGTGTTCATACGAGAAGTAGATCAGAAGGCAAAGGCATTGCGGGCTGCTGCAAGTTTTACTCCTAGTGAAGTTGCATCTGTTGTTGTTGATGTATGTTTGAGTTTGTTTGGAATTTTATCAATTTTAAATGAATTTCATCATTTTTAAATGAATTTTCTCATTTTAGCTTAGTATTTGTATAATGTTGTTCTAATTGTTCAATCTTTTTTAGTCAAATTACCTTTACAAGAATTTGTTATAATTGTTTACCATTTAATTCTTCGATTTGAATTTTGTAGGAATGATCTTGCGGATGGATTACTGGAGAGGCTTTAAGTAGCAAATTTCTGGTTGCCGGTCTTGAGGACATTCATATATCATGTGTTTCTTAGTGTTGGTATGACTTTTTTTATGTGTTTTAATCAAATGTCCTAAACATTCTCTTACATAAGCAGTATTTTGGTGTCTAAACTTATGTAATGTCTAGCTTGATGTTTCAGTACCGACTGAAGATTTATTTATATAACTTGGATGTTTGTAAAATTTGATTTTTTTTATATTTTTATGTATTCATACTTAATTAGAATCGTAATGAAATTTAAGATGGTTATTGGATATTGTTACAGCTTCAATTTGGGTAATACAAAATTGGAAGAAGATATGTTGAGAAGTAGTTTCGACTAACATAGTGCATATTTGGCGGCGTTTGTTCTAAAAATGCCACTATAGAATTGACCTTTTACGGTGTTTTGTTCTAAAAACACCGCTATAGATCTGACATTTTGCGGCGTTTGTTATGAAAATGCCGCTATAGATTATGACCTTTTGTGGCATTTGTATCTAAAACGCCGCTATAGAACAACCTTTTGTGGCGTTTTGTTCTAAAAACGCCGCTATAGATCTGATATTTTGCGGCGTTTGTTCTGAAAACGCCACTATATATATCGACTTTTAGCGGCGTTTGTTCCTAAAACGCCGCTATAGATATCGACCTTTAGCGGCGTTTGTTCCAAAAGCGCCGCAATAGATCTTGACCTATTGCGGTGTTTATTGTTCTCAAACGCCGCTAACTTTAGCGGCTTCGGTATGGCCGGCGCTTCTTGCGGCGTATTTTCAATCGCCGTAAGTACTTTTAGCGGCGCTTAAAAATGTCGCTATAGGATTAAAAAAACGCTGCTAATACTCTGTTTTGCTGTAGTGAATATAATATATAAAAAATCATTTTTAAAACTATATATTATATATGCTTTTAAAAATTGTTTTCAAAACCATATAATATATATATATATATTTTCAAAAATTGTTTTAAAACTATATAATATATATTTTCAAAAATATTTTTAAAACTATATATTATATACATTTTCAAAAATGTTTTCAAAAACTATATATTATATATATTCAAAATGTTTTCAAAAACTATATATTATATATATTTTCAAAAATGTTTTCAAAAACTATATATTATATATATGTTTCCAAAAATTTTCAAAACTATATAATAAATATATTTTCGAAAACCATTTTCAAAACTATATAATATATATTTTCAAAAATCGATTTTAAAGTATATATTATATGTTTTCAAAAATCGTTCTATAAAAACTATATAATATATAAACCCCGGACGGAAATGAGTGTCTATTGATCATCCTTCAAAGAGAGATTCACGCGATTCAACATACACCCCACTTAGTTCACCCTTTTCTTGAACAACAGACATCCCCATGGAGAGGAGGATTGATTGCAGGTTTCTCGGGGAGTAAAGAAAATTAACAAAGAAAATCTTGAGAAATCTCTTTGAGAATCTCGGACCTTTGTGCCATAAGCTGCGATGTTTGAGAAGAAGTAGTAGGGTTGATGATTTTGAGAGGAGAATAATGTGGAAAGAAAAGAGCTGGAACAGTTCACCACAAGCGTCTCCATCACAACAGATCACATATTGTACTTCAGTGGGTAGTGATTTATGTTATCTTGAGAACTCAATTTATGAGTCTGTTCTCCACTGCAAGAGATCAATAGGTATACATTAGGGTTTTTTTAACTCTAAAACATAATTCTCAAACCCTAAACTTTAACAGTTGACAAATTCTTATGTTGTTTGCTTTGCTTCATTCCAGGAAAATGATTCATCCATGCTCTCATATGGTTCATGCCTGTGTTTCTGCCTCTGTGAGACATGGTATATTCATGGGATTATATGGATTTTCAACTTTGAAAATTTGTGTCAAGAGATTTTAGATCATCCGGAAAACTATGGCATTGTGTTTTGCGGAACTTATCTAGTCACATTTTATATATAAAAAAATCCTTATTTTTCTATGTTTGATTAGTATATATTGTAAATGCAAGACTAAGAGTCCTTTTGATTCTAGAAAATATATTTTATTTTTTATTTTCATTTTCTTAGAAAATGGATAACGTTGAAGAAAACATGTTTAATTATAAAATTAGAAAATGATTTCTGGAATATGAAAACATAAACAATATTATCATTAAAGGTGCTTGAAATTTTGAAAAAATGGAAACACAAGATCTAAATTTTTAACTTAATTTGTATTTATTAAATCATTTTAACAATAAATTTTTGACTTAATGGTATCTAATCCTCAATTGTTTTGCAAAAAGATCAATATGGTCCATAAACTTTTTTTACACTCAATTTGGTCCTTAAACTAATAATTTTAATAATTTACTTTTTAGTATTTTTATATTAAATGTATTGAACATCTTAATAATATTTTATATTTTATATTTTAAATTATTTAATTTTTCAAAAAAATAATTAAGTCTTTAAACTTTATAAAAGAATCAATTAGGTCCTCGACCTTAGCAAAAAAAAATCAATTAAGCCCATCTACCATGTCATCATCCATCATGTACTACCACAACATGATCGTGAACTATAACATCAATATTGTGTATTGCCATGTAAGCTTTGTGAATTTTCATGTAAGCATAGTGATGGTCAATTCTTGATTCGGTTAGTCAGAAGGTTAATTGTTTTCTCAATTTAAGGGTTACATTGAGTGTAAAAAAAGTTCAAAGGCTACATTGGTTTTTCCCAAAAGTTTGAGAGCATTAAATACCACTAAACATATTTTTTTTATTTTAACAACACGTATGTGATCTTGTTTACAACAATATTTTTTATGTATTTTTTTAATTTAATTGATGTCTAATATACATTAACATTATACTCTTATTATAAACTAAAATAATTTGTGTTATAGAATTTCTTATAAACTTTATTGTTTTATAATTGCATAACTCACATATTAAATTTATGAAAAAAAGTATATTTTAATATAATTATTTGATAACTATTTGTTCATCTATATTTTAAAAAATAGATATAAAATATATTTTAATTATTTTTATTTATGAAATCAATTTTTCATTTATATTAACCAAACATATTTTCTAATTTTCTAAAAACTGAAACTGAAAATTATTTTATGAAAATAAAAACAGAAAATATTTTCTAGAACAAAAGGAACCTAGAACTCCCTAAATGTATTGTTACAAAACAAACATATCAATGATTATTTATAATATATAAATCAGAAAAGTAAATAAAATCATTGTGTCGCGGTAAAAGTAATTATTTTAGAAATGATTTTTTAATCGGTATAATCATAAAATGGAGGCAGAATTAGGAAAATAATCTAAGCGGACCCTTTATTTAGCCCAATATGATATACTGGATCTTTTCGATCTACGATAAATGCTACAGTGGACATGGAACTACTCCTGCTGGCGTGACGAGTTCCATGAGATATATTTTTTAATAGAATATATTTAATATATATTAAGGGACTCGTCATGCCCGCGTGAAGAGTCCTAATAAAAAAATAAGTTTTTTTTGGAATTTTTTTTAAAAAATTGTAAAAAAATATAATATTAAATGCAAACAGAACTCGTCACACTGGGGTGACGAGTTCCAACGGGGTATAAATTTGAATTTTTAGACTGTTGGGTGACCGTTGTTGAACGAGCAATTTTTTTTAAATTCAATGGAACTCGTCATGCTGATGTGACGAGTTCCAACGACTATTTTCAATTTGAAAAAAACTAGTCGTTTATAGCCGTTGGATAGAGTAGTATAAATAGAGGTTTGGGTTAGATTGATTTTTCACTTGAAATTAAACATCCTAATGAGAGTAAAAACTTTTTTTTGTTGAAATGGCCTCAAGAGAAGAAATGTTACGTCTTGATGATGTTCATATTTCGTTGACCGAGTTGACTATGATAAATTTATTTTATTTTATTTCATTTTAGTTTTGAAAAAATCAAAGTATTAATAATAATTATTTATATAATTGTATTAAATAATTTATTTTCAAATTGTAGCAAGAAGAACGAGGCATTCGTTATCGAGGAATGACGAATGAAGAGCCACATCAGCGGATTGTGATATATCTTCAACAATCCAGATTTTATGAAGCGATATTTCTTTGTGGTTTTAAGGTGATACCGACATTGATATCAACGTTGATTAAGCG